CTTTCCCCATTGGAACACACCCTGTCCTCCACTGCAGGGAAGAACAGGTCACGACCCTCCTCCACATGACATCCCCTCACATACCTATAAGTTGCTTAAAGATCCCCTCAGAGCCTCCTCTTTTCCAGGCTGAAAAGACCTGGTTTCCTTAATCTCTCTTCATATGTCACCCTCCCAGCACAGCTATCATTCTTGTGATCCTGCACTGAACCAATTCTAACCTAGCTATGTCTCTCCTCTGGGAGAGACATAGCTAGGTTAGAATGTGGAGCCCAGAACTGGATGCAGTACTCCAGTTGTGGGTGCACCAGAGCTGTGTAGAGCAGTATCAACACCCATACAGATCTGGAAGCCACTCTTCTGGCTATACATCCAAGGGTGGCATGCACCTTCTTAACCACTGTGTCAGTTCCTGGCTCATGTTCAGCCTGCTGTCGACAAATACCTGAGATCCCTTTCACAAGTGCTGCTCTCCAGCCACCTATTCCTGCGTCCCAAGTGCAAGACCCTGCACTTATCCACACTGAATGCCATCCTGTTGTTCCCTGCCCACTTCCACAGCCTGTCCAGATCCTTCTGGATCTGGATCATCTGCTCCTTAGTTGAGGCCATTGCCCCCACCTTGGTATTGTCTGTGCATTTAGTCAGCAAACTGGTTATTCCCTACTCCAGGTCACTGATAAAAAGGTTGAACAGAATCGTTCCCAGAACTGAGCCCTGGGGGATTCTGCTCATCACCGGCTGCCATCCTGATGATTCCCCACTGCTATAAACCCTCTGCTTCTGCTCCATCCACCATGTCCTAATGCATTGGACAGTGTCTCAATCTATCCCAAAGCAAAGCAATTCTTTCAACCAGGATATCATGGGGCACTTTGTCAAAGGCCTTGCTGAAATCCAGGTAAACCACATCCACTGCGTCCCCTCCATCTAGGCACCTTGAGACCTTATCATAGAATTCCACAAGGTTCATCGTTCAGGATCCACTGTCAGGTTGATTTGTGTGTACACCCTTAAGTACAGTGACCACAGTAACACCTCCTCCAAAAAGGAGCTGAAAAAATGTAGGAGAGTTAATAATTCCCATTTCTGGAGTAGCTGTGGAGATTTGAAGAAATGTTGATAAGAACATAAGAAGAGCCAGAATACTATATCAGACCCCGAGTCCAGCATTCTGTTCACACAGTGAAAGCCAAGTGCCCAGAGAATCCCACAAGCAGCACATGAGGCCTAGCACCCTCCTACCCAAGTTCCCCAGCAACTGGTGTGCATAGGCACACAACCATAGCCTTCTCTTCCATGAATTGATCCAGTCCCCTTTTAAAGCTGTCCAAATTAGAAGCCATCACTCATGGAAGTGAATTCCATTGCTATGCAAAGAAGTTGAAGAACACTGGGAAATGCCTGTTCATCACTTAAAAGTGGGAGCGTCATATTGCCACGGGGAAATTATATTACCTTATTCCTTTGGCTCCATTCCCTCATTTACAATGCTTATTTAATTGCTCTACTGGATCCCTCCTTTCTTTCACTATTATTTATTGCCTGGAGTTGCCAATTGTGCACAAATTAGCCTCAGCCTTGACTTATCAGTTGCCTTGCATTTTACTTTACTGTAGAGCTCACTCTGATTTCTGAGTGAAACATCAAAGGAAATTGACCAAACAAGACTACATAGATGCCAACTGTAAGTATCCTTCAGGTTAAACTTGAGACCGAAGTTGACAGTCCTTCAGAGTTAAAATCTCAGTCCACTCTGTGAGTCTGTGAGTGTTAAGAATGGTAATAATTACATGAGGTTTTCATCAGGGTTATAACCAATATATGGCCATGCAAGACTGCCCTCTAGTGAGTCATTCAATACCATCCATAGAATAAATATCAGCTTTGGGAGAATCAAGCTTAAATAATTCACCCCTTACTGAAGGTCACTGCAGAGTCAGAGTGCTACTTGTAATAATCCCTTCTCTAAGAAACAATTCACATTTTCATGCCCTGTTCAAGTCCATACAAGTTAAAATTTTCTACTTCGTGTCTACAGTGCATGCCCACTGCTTATTTGGAGGAATAATACTCAGTAAATCTCTGCTCAGCCAAAGATTTGCATATCTGAGTTTGGAACGATAGTGAATGGTATCCATTGCATATTAAGTTGCCTTTAATATAAAACTTTGGCAGTCCTTTGCTAATAAGCCTATTTCGAATGAGAAACATTTTATCCTTGAGGCTGTAATTTATTTACAGCACCAAGGATGGCAAAATCTGCTTTGGCATCAAGAAAAGGTAGAGATGAATATATAAAAGATATGTGGTGCAGTGTGTTCTTGGTAATTTTAATTGATGATATATGCCCAGTAGGTTGTATCCAGTGTTTTTAGTTTAACTTAAATCTCCTTAATTCCAATGTGTCTACTCCAAACAGCATTGAATAAAACCTATTTTTAAAACCCAGTAAAATTATTGTAACTTTGGGAAAAGCATAGAGGATTTATTTATTTATTTGCTTTCATTCTGTAAGGGAACATGTTCCTTTGTGCCTTGGGGTCTCCAAATCAAAAAGGAAAATGGGGGTAAATTCTGTCAATCCTTTCTCTAGATGTTTGCAATAAGGATCCTTTTTTAGGTCTGTTCGCCCAGGGAGAAAGGGGTTCAAGTCTTCAATCACAGTCAGGACCCTCTCCAAGTTTTCCTAGCAGTCACAATGTTGCATCTAGTGCAACAGTAGGGAATGGTTGGCCCATGAGCTTTACTTGACAGCACATTAGATAAGAATTGAACCATTTAATCATATATGTGAGCACAAGTAGTAAACAGCAGTTAAAGACTGAATCATTTTTCACTTAGTGAATATAAAATCGACCCATCTATTGAACAAATGGACATTTGTCTGTAGCAGCAGCCTGGTAGGGATGCCAAGCAGCTGAATGCTACTCTTGCATTTTGCCTTGGTCTGCCATTTTTCCAATCCAGGTAATGTTAAATTTTCCTTGTAGCTGCAAGAGAGATGAACAGTCCACAACATCTTCATATCTTCTGGGAGATGGATGTAGAGATTCAAATATAAAGAAAGATGGATCTTAGACCAGTTGTCATAAGAGGTAATTTTATGTATGCAGCCTAGCTGACAGCTCTTACTTTTGTCTGCTGTCTGAAAGGTTTCCTTCCCCCTGCTTTTCCTCACTCTTTAAGAGCATGGCAGAAGAGTCATCTGCTTTTTACATGCAGAACACATTTTGGCTCCCTGTTGGACATACAGGACTTTAACCATCTAATTTCCATTTTCTGAAATGAGAAAGAAACTCTCTAGGGGTTTCACTTTGTGCCATCTATTTCTGACTGCATGAACCTGTATAATGCAGAAAACAATCTATATATACCAAGAAAGAGTGCTGGCTTGATTATTCAATTTTAAATGTTTTATATTCTGATTCTATACCTATTTTCTTACAAGGAAGTCTCACATGTTTTTAACATAGCTTGTTTTTATGTAAAGGATGCCTAGGATTACTGTCCTATTCTTTCTTGACCAAAAAAGAACCAAATCTCTTCTTAACTTTTCTGTTACTAATCATATCCGAAGCAATGCTATACATGCCAACTTAGTTCTAAGTCCCACTGAGTTCAATGAGATTTTTTCTCAGGCAGCTGCATATATAGTTGTAAGATGAGCTCGACTAGGTGTTAGTCCAAGTATGTAGGTGCAAGGAATGTGACCTTTTTGATGATGGCACCAAAACTGTGGGGAACTCTCTGGAAGTACATCCAATAAGCTCCTTTTAAAAAATATATTGGAATTGATTTCTGCAGCCTTAAATGCTGCTGTCTTAAATTTAATCCTGCTTCGAGGTTTGTTACCTTAATGAGTGTTGTTATCTTTTATTTTCTCTTAGATGCTTTAAAAATTGCTTGAGAAGCAGGATAAAAACTATTTAAATAAATTTAGGTGGATTGAATAAACTGAAAGCTTGGACAAGAGAATAACACTTCATACAAATTAATTTCAGTTCTCTCTGTAAAGATAATCAGGACATATATAAAGGAATATCACTGTGACCTTTCACAAAGCATGAGAAAGTGGGAACAGGTTACAGGAAGGAATTTTAGCTGCAGTTCAGTGCATGCTTTCCATGCAGGTCCTGGATATGACCCTATATCCAGTATCTCTAGGGAAAGCTAGGAAAAAGAATCCTGCCCGAAATCCTGCAGTTGCTGCCAGTCAGTGTGGATGATGCTGAGCTAGATGGACCAAGTCTGAGACTGGATTCTTGGGAACACTGAATGATTAATAAGCAATGCTGGTTTATTTCCCCTGCTGCACATGCCTGTTGCACAGTAGAGGGACAGGGTGGCTTATTGTCATGATTAACAAGCCACCCAGAACCCACAAGTTTTAGAATTCTGTGATGACTTGTTAACCATAGTAACAAGCCACTGTTGCCAAGTCTGCGTGACATAGCAAGCCACCAGCAAGGATATGAATGAAAATCCCTCTGGCACATGGCTTGCATGTGTGGTGGAACAAATAAGCAAAATAAGCCGCTGTGACTTATTTACTCCAATGGAATTGTTTGAACAGGTCCAATACAAAGCTGCTTCTTATATTTCTACGGAAGACGAGAAGATGACACGAAGGGTGTGCAGCCTAAAGTTGTGAAGGTTTACTTGGAAGTAAATCTCAGGTACAACGGAGTTCAATCCCAAGTAACAGTGCGTGGGGCTGCACACTGCTACATAAGAAAAGCGAATCGCCTTCCTCACAGCCTGTGGCATACACAAAAATGTGTTACTGGCCAGCAAGAGTCATTTGCAAAAAGCACAGGAAAGGCGGATTCGCGGCCAACCCCGTTCCAGCTCGCACGAGGTTCCCTCAGTTTCTATAGCAACACGGGGAAGAAGCCGTTGAGCGCGGGTGTCCTCCAGGTGGCGCTATCTCCCCGCAGGAACAGAGGCGGGCAAAGTGAAGGCGCCTGTGCTTTCACGCTCCCGGAAGTGATCGCTTCTGCTTCCGGAAGAGCGTCTCCATGTGCTTCGTGCTCCGGCCGAACTGTTGCTGTGCGTTAACGGAAGAGCGCGGGCGGAGGGCGACCGCGGCATCAGCGTAACCCGAAGGAGGAACCTGAGGCGCTCCTGGAGCGGACCCGGCTCTCTGCCCTCTCCCTTTCCACGAACCCGGAGTGAGGGCGAGGCAAGAAAAAGGCGCGTCTCTCTCCCGAGACCAGCTTTGCCTCCAGTCAGCGCTGTGGCTTTTTTTTTAACCCTCAGCTAGAAGGTAGAAACTACTGGTTCTTAATGTGAGGCAAAATCCTGTTCGGGCTGTTGTGCTATGTCTTCTATTAACTTCTGGCTTTGGGAGTGGTGATTCTTGGAAGTTGTGGCTATTTGGGCCCGTATAAAACCTCCCGGAAAACGTCGCTCTCGTGTTTGTGTTACAAAAGAGGTTGGGAAGAAGTACCCTTCACCCACGTGTCTTAGGGCGTATAGTTAGAATTACAGACAATTGTTTTTTGGTTGAAGTTAAACAACTCGTTACCACAGTCCAACGTTGTTTAACTGGTTTGATCCAGCCAAAGTTCAGCATTTTAGAAGTACCACTTCTACACATTATTATATTTCAGAGCTTCCTTCTTGCGGGGAACCCAAGGTGGCTTATGGAGCTCTCCTTTCCATTTTATCTTTGCAACAACAACGCTGATAGCTCCTTAGATGGAGAGGCTGTGACTGGCCCAGAGTCACTCGGTGAGCTTCATGGGCGAGTGGGGACTAGAACCCAGATCTCTTGGGTTTCCAGCCCAACACCACTCTGGCTCTCCAGGAGATTTAAGAATGTGCTGAGAGGACTTCCCAGGAGGTCAGTGCACCTCTTAGGTGCATAACTTTGCCCAGATTGTGTCTTCTGCAGATACAATTTTGTATAACTTGGTTTCTGTAGTATCCAACAGCCATCACTTTCATAATAAAGATGATATTTTCATCATGAGAACTGAAGGTAAAGTCCCCTTGCATTTCATTAAAGGGGTAAGCCTATGCTTAAATTTTTATTTTACAAATGATACGATTTACAGGCCAAGTTTTCTATATGTAGTCAGAAGTACTCCTGCTGAGTGTAGCTTATTCCTGAGAAAGAGTACAGGATTGTAATTGTGAGTCCTTTGCCCTTGTGTGAGCTGTCATGATTTTTTTTAATTGCTCCATCAACTCGTCTGTACAAGGTGCATAACAAGCTGAATAATTAAAAATCCTTTATGACAGAACCAATCCTGCTTCACTTTAGAAAACAAGACTAGGTGGGATCTCTTAGTGTATAAGGAAACTAATAATGTGGTTGCTTCTTTAAATTCATCTCTATAAAGCTGTTCTGCAGAAAGGATGTGTCTGGCTTCTTTTGGCTGCATTTCTCCCGCTCTGCTCTTGCTGCATTTCACTGCCATCTGCAGTACAGGTTACCCAAGCAGTTCAGTTGTATCAGGGCTTTCTATCATTATCTTTGTGTGTTTTGAAAATAATTCCTCACACAAGTCCCTTTTGGCACACAAGTCATTAAGATGGAAGTCAGAGAGAAGCACTTGGAAGACCAGTTTTAAATCAGTGGGCTTAAAGTTATTTATCTCTACATATTAGTTTTATTTATTTTGGTGTTTAACACATATTTAATGAAAAGTAAGTTCCTCTGTGTTGAATAGTTACAGCTGTCAAGAAAATATAGATAGGACACCAGCCTTTGACTGCAGTTCAGCACAACTTGTGCATGATTAGTTTTATTAGTGTTTTGTTGCCAAAGACAGCTAGAGGTGGTTAAGAGTCGTGTTGATCAGGCCAGAGATCTATCCCCTGGGTCCTCAAACTAAGGCCTGCGGGCCGGATCCGGCCTGCCATGCCCTTTTTACCGATCTGCGCCGCACGTTTTGCTCTCGCTGGGCGCGCGCGGCTTGCTCACGAGGAGGTCGTTTTGGAACCGCCTGGAGAACATGATCCCTTGAGCAAGGCGGCGCCGCGCTGTGTGCACGCCTGGCGGCAGCTTGCACACAAGCAGATCATTTTGGATTTGCTCGGAGAAAACGATCTCCTCGCGAGCAAGCCAGGACCGCCGCCCCCCCCCCCCTCGAGTGCGCGCGCCCCGCCCCTACACCAGCCCGCTCTCCCCGCCCCCGACCGGCACCGCCTTGGCGGCCTGTGGCCACCGCTAGCACCTCTCACCTGGCCCCCCGTTCAAAAAATTGGAGGACCCCTGATCTATCCAGTACCGCATTCTGGTCACATGGCAGCCAAGCCTGCTGCTCACAGGATCCTACAAGCGGAAGAAGTGCAACTGCCCCGCCATGCCTTAGTTTTCCACTAACTAGCATCCGTAAGCATAGTTTATTGGCTGTTGGAGATAGATATAGCCATTAGGATTGGTAGTCATCTGGTTTGAAAGATACCTTTTTCTGAGCATCCCCCGTCCCAGTTCCATTCCAGCTAAAAATATCTAAACTATCAAATAGGAAGGAATACTTAAGATGGAAGTCTAGCACAATCCCAAGTGTGTATACTATGAAGTAAGTTTCACTGGGTGCAAAAGGGCTTAATCTTAAGTAAATGTGCCTGGGGTTACCAGCTTAAAATGCTAAAAGAGTCAGATCCTGTCTGGTCTTGTTTCCTAAGCAAAAGTAGGGTTGATTTGATCATTAGGGATTTAGCTCATACAGGGAGAAGTTTATAATTCGGTGATAGTAGAACAGATTTTTTTTAAAAAGATCTCCTGTCATATTATACATGCAAGCTGAGTTATGCAGTAAAAAAGACAGGGAGAATAACTGAAAACCCCTTATTTTTCTTGTGATTCCTCCCCCTAGGTTTTGTTTTGGGTTTTTTAAATTTTATTTTATTTTCTGGTCCTTTTTATGATATTTACTTATTAGTTCAACCAACCAACCAACCAACCATGTAGATCGAAGACACTGGTAAGGTTTGCATGGTTGTTGCAGATGGGGATGAAAGAACCTACACTTTCCCTGTTCCTAAGTTGTGGTAGCACACCATACAGTTTGCCTAATTACCCTCATTGTGTATAGTACCCCATTGTCCAGAGCTGTTAAGGTGTGAGGTATGGGTGTCTGTGGAACATCCCAGAACCCATGGTTTGTTTCAACTTTCTTATGTGGTTTCGGAGCTATTCCCCCTCTACTGTTCACCTTGCCAGTTTCAGGCAACACAGGAGCCATGTGCAGCAAGGATAATTGCACAAAATAAACAGGGTGTTGCTAGCACACAGGGTGGAGAGAAAAAGCCATTGATGCTCCTTTTCAGCCTGTGATCATATGAGCCAGGCCAGTCACAAGAAAGCTGGAGTGAATCCTAACCCCAACCCCAGCAAAATGCTGTTTGTCCCCTCCCTCCCACCTCCCCTGAGCACTGAACAGGAGGAGTATGTTCTGCTGGGTCTCCTTCAAATGATTATTTTCTCCTGTTGCTCTCAACGGTAGCCGCCTCTGTAAATGATAGGAGCGTGTTCTGCGAAGTCTCCCCTGAGGTCAGAAGGTGCCTGATCCTCTCTGCCTGCAGCTACAAGTGACTTCAGGAACATGAGCCAGTATCCACTGCAAATTGGCCCTCCAAGCCCAAAGCAAGAGCCAGTACATGGCAAGAGGGAAGTTGATGACAGCTGTCCAAAGTGCTGCTTGGGCAGTCTAAGTGGCTGCCGTTGGAGCCACCCAGGTGGAACAGCAAGACTTGCTTTCGCTTGTGCTAAGTGCTTCTATAGGCTTTGGGCCTTCATTTGGACTTGTGTCATCTGGGTTAACTTTGTCTTTTTTAACCTATAAGGAATCCAGAATACTCAAATTCAGATATCAAGGTTACAGTCAATGAATGCAGTATTTATATGTTGTTCCTGGAAATTGGAGGTGACTAGCTTATGGTGTGTATTTGCACAATTTGTGTGTTTATCTGAAGTTTGCTGGTAAATGCTGCTGTTATGTACAAGCAGCCCCATAGACAGCCATAAGGGCTTTGTATCTATAGCTTGTCTCTCTAAGCACATTTTCCCAAAAATAGAGACAGGTATGTATCACAACTTTTTCATGTAGTTTGTAATACAAGAGTACAGAGGAAAAATGCAGCCCTGTTGCCTTGACATGTTCTTGCTTCTTCTAATGAACTGATTTTTTAAAAAAATTCTGCAACTGGGATGGAAGAAAGCCTCTGTAGTGAGGGACTGGGATTTCTCTCTGATTCTCCTCTGGTCCCTGTTTAAGTTCTTATATAATAATAATAAATGCATGTTAAACTTAAAACTTTGTTTTCACTGATTTTACTAGCACCTTGTCCTGAACACCACTAGAGTAGTCCACATTGCTCTTATTTTACACCTACTTCAAACAAATAGATGGTTCCTTATCTTGGCTTGTAGCAGTTTAATTTGATAGACTCAGATTAAGTGGGTATGAGGAATCCTGTCTGTGTTTTAGAATGGTACTTCATTATTGATTTGAGAAAGTTTGAGATGATAGTAACTCTGGTCCAAGGCAACAGTCCTGTGAACACTTTAAGGTAAGTCCATTGAACTCAGAGACTACTTTTGGTTAAATTTGATCAAGTTGGTCTACATAAAAAGTGCTGTGTGTTATTAAAACAGCTGTTAACATGGAGTATGCTTTGAAATGGAAGAATTTTTATTGGCTTTGAATCTGGCCCCTGTTTGGTTTCAGTGATAAACAACTGTATGAAATGTATTCTGTTATGCTTAAAGAGTGTTTTCTTTTATAGAAGTTCTATAAAATTTAATAGACTACCAGAATGTCTGGAGTTGAAGAGGCTGCCGATGTGTTATGTGAAGTGAGCCTTGATGACGCATGTAAATCATTAGGTGAGAACAAAGAAGCCAACCCCAGTACAAATCCTAAAGATATTGTGGTCACTATTGGAGCTACTGTCCCAACTGGCTTTGAGCTGACTGCTGCAGATGAAGTACAGGAGAAGCTAGGATCAAAGTCTAGAATTAGCAAGGACCGAGGGAAAATCTATTTTGACATTCCTGTAATCAGCCTTCCACAGGTTTGCAGATTTTATTATTTGAGTAATCTATTCTTTCTTTGTTCAAGGATATAATAATCAGTTGCTCATGTGTATGTTTGCTTGATGATCACAAAGGACAGTATTACAACCTAGCTTTTAAATTATTTGTCTTTTCTTTATGGAGCAAGGAAAAAAGAATGCTAAAATTTGTTGGGAGGTGTGAGGATGGGGAGGGAAGTGAAGAAACGTATCACTTTGTTTTGTAATGTGCCTCATGTGCTTCTTGGTGCTATCCTATATATGTCTGGGTAGATCCTTTTTAAGTTAAAGAAAGTGGGTAGAGAATTACAGCTGTTAGTAATAGATCACCTTATTTCTGAGAAGGAAAACATGTCTATGCCAACAGCAGCTGTGTAACAAGGGAATTGTTAAGGAACACATAATGTGCAGCACTCAGACATAACAAATATAGAATAGCACATTTTTCTAGTTAAAGGTAGTAACCGCATTTTCTTTTTTTAGCTAGGCTATAAGTATACAAAATGCCTTGTACAACACTAAAACAGGGTTATCTCTAATTTCATTAGGTTCACCAGTTAAGATCAGTTGACAATTTATTTGTTGTTGTTCAAGAGTTCAAAGATTATCAGTTTAAAGAAACTAAGGTAAGCTATCTTTTCCTTCCATACTTTAAAGAAGTTGATTTAAAAAGTGGAATTCATTCAGGAATTAGTTATTCTTATTAGGTTATTTTAATAGAAAAATATAGTAGTTAAGCATATTAGAATATGGTAATAATTTATAAAGTTTTGCGGAAGTTCTATGCAAAGATTAAACAGGACTGCCTGTAAAGTTTCAGTTTAATGAACAAGAAGGAAAGGGTGTGAGGAGGGAAGTCGGAAACAAGTAACACAGAAACCAGTTCCTAGTCACAAGGTAATACTTATAATCAACTTGAATTGAAACAGTTCGGGGAGGAGAGGCTCCAAATGACAGCTAATGATCTCTGCTGCATTGTTCTCTCCTTGCTATTGGCTGTGGCCTGGGTGCATTCTAGGGTGATGGCATCCCACATTGTTTAAAAGTGCATAATAGTAAAATAGCATAACAACAAATTAAATTACTAACTGCAACTGAAAGGAGCAGCAAGAGAGTCAGCAGGACATAAATTGAGACAGCCAAAAGCAGACCAAGAAAAAGCACTAGCAGAACCAGTATCATTTCACCCAAATGCTAGATAGCCAGGTATTCGTGTTTGACTTGAAACTTAAATAGCATTTCAGCCTGGTGAGCCACCCTTTGGAGGCCCTTTAAAGTGGAGGGGTATCCAGTGCAAAGCAATGCACAGAATGTTCCATACTGGAGAAGGTGGTCTCTTGGATGCCCTCCTCTCAGGACACTTATGGTTTCATGGTTAAAGCAAGCACATTCAACACTGCAGGTTGGGCGTCTTAGTAATATGTTCCCAATAATGCAGCAACCAAACTATGCCAGTGAAAGTTCCTGAATGGTTTTCAAGTGTAATTCCTTGTGGAGTGCTTTACGTAAGCTAGTCTGGAGATGACTGTGTCATTCAGATTGAGTGTCTCAGCAGTTAAGCAACATCTCATAGTGTCATTCCATAATTTCAAATTATTCCAGTGGAGTATCACTAAATCTTTATGTTGTGAAACTGTTTTTCTCACTAATGCTGCACTACTGGATGCACAAACATAATGTGCAATAGATTGTGTGATGGGTTGCACGGGTGTAGTGCACAATTCATTGCACAGGCATAAGGAAAATCACTTGCATAGATATAATTTACTAATAGAATGGTATAGTTGGATACTGCTCATTAATTAAAGTTCATATTTGGTGTTCCTACAAATTATTAGGAAGTGTTATATGTTTTGAGCTCATTCTTTTTAGGGTTTTTTAAATTTTTGATTCTATTCCACCCAAGCTCTCTGGGTAGCTCACAACAACTAAGCACGCTTTACTCTATTTTTATTCCACTTCTCAGCCCAAAATATTCCCAGAGCGGCTTATAAACAACCAGTTAATTAACTACTCCCTGCTGGGAGCCTTAAAGTACATAAAACAATACAGAAGGAAAAGGGATGGGTAGAGAAGAAGAAATGAAGTGGCTTTTTAGCAGGGATGGTGGTATAACCTTGCTGTCCCTCCCAGCTCCCTCTGTCACAGGCTGCTGGAATGGCTGATGGTAGTGACAGTTGCGGGAGAAGGTGCCCTCATGAAGGAGGCCTTTCAGCAGGAGCCTTTCCCCTCCTCTTCTTGTGATTATAATATGACGTCAAGGGTCTGCTGTTGAGGGGCTAGGATTGGAAGCTTCAGCTTCACCCATAAGCTGTTTCATGTACCCAGAGTTCATTGTTTTGAAATCACAAGCTCTGATGGGCCACATCAGCAAAATAGCTGCAGCTCCAGATAAATTATTTTTCTGATACTTTGGTAAAATAAGCTGTGTGAGTGCTTCTGCTGCCATGTTACAGGAAGAAGCTCTAAAGGATTTAGAGGATCTGGTTAAGAAATTGCCTTGGACTGACCCTTTGGAAGTATGGAAGTTAAATACAAGTCTGAAGAAAAGAAAAACAAGACGGAGAAAAAGCAATCAACAAAGTAATGCCAGGAAAGAAAAACGAGAAAATGATGAAAGTGAAGAGAGAAGTGCTGATAAAGAATTGCATAATCCTGTGCAAAAGGAGTCTGCTATAGTTCAAGACCCAGAAAATACTGATGAACCTGTGCCACCAGATGATGATGAACAATCTGATTCTAAAGAAGAGTTACTATCTAATGGTGAACATGAAAATGAATCTGGTGATTGCAAGAAGTGTGAAATTGAGGCCCAAAAGCTGAAATTCCGTGTGACTTGCAACAGAGCTGGCGATAAGCATAGCTTTAAATCAAATGAGGCAGCAAGAGATTTTGGAGGAGCTGTGCAAGATTTCTTTCAGTGGAAGGCAGACATGACCAATTTCGATGTAGAGGTAGAATACTAATTATTTTAAAATACTGTCTTATATACATTGATAAGAATGGGTTGAACTGTGACAGGATTTAAGGCTTCAAATGCTTTATGGAGGCAGTCCTTCAGTTTAGACATCCCATTAATCTAGCTGGCACATTGTAGCAGTCACTCATGGACTTGTTGCAGGTAGTGCAGAAACAAGTGGACCTTCTGAGCTGCCTGGTTATAGTTTTTTCTTTTAATCAGTAACAAAGCAACAGGGTTGTTTCATGATGGGCAAGCACAAGAACTCTGGTTTATTTAGAAATTAAACAACCCAGAGTTAACAAACTACAGACAATTATTGGGTTAACTTTGGGTTGATTAACACATAGAAATATAGAAACAAAGCAAGTCAGAAGGGGCCTCCTGGGCCATATAGTCGGACCCCCAGCTCCAGCCAGCTCTACTCATGTAATCCCTAACATGTAGTTGTCCCATCTTTCCTTGGACTCTCTCACTGATGGGACATCCACCACCTCCCTTGGTAGCCCATTCCATATCCTAGGGATCATAGCCATCAGAAAGTACTTCCTGACATCCAACCTGAAGCCTGGTTCCTTGAGCTTTGCCCCATTGGAACATGTCCTACCCTCCACTGCAGGAAAGAACAGGTCACGTCCCTCCTGCACATGACATCCCCTTACATACCAGTAAGTTGCTAAAAGAGCCTGCAGAGCTTTCTCTTCTGCACACTGAAAAGACCAAGTTCCCTTAATCTTTCCTCATACATCATCCCTCTCAGCCTGGCTACCATTCTTGTAACCCTGTGCTGAACCGATTCTAACCTAGCTATGTCTCTCCTATGAGAGAGACATAACTAGGTTAGAATGCGGAGCCCAGAACTGGATGCAGTACTCCAGTTGTAGACACACCAGAGTTGTGTAGAATGGTATCAACACCTCCCTAGATCTGGAAGCCATGCTTCTAGGTATACTTTCAAGGGTGGCCTTAGCCTTCTTAACTATTGTGTCACTCTGCTGGCTTATGTTCAGCCTGCTGTGGACAAGTACCCCAAGATCCCTCTCACAAGTGCTGCTCTCTAGCCACTTGTCCCTCTCTTGTACCTGTGACACCTATTCCTGTAAAGTGTAAAGAAACAGTCTAGGAATGGGATGTTTCTGGTCTGGCATTTCCATGCTCTGGTCTGCTCTCCTCATGGAAGACTGCTGTATTGCTCTGTGGTTTCTAAGTAAAACAGTACAGTTGGCATCTCTTTTGACTTAGATTTTTTTACACCACCTCAGCCCAACTTCATAGAGATTGGTCAGTCACTTTTTTCCTATTACCTCAGGATTTCTTAACATAGAGTGTCCAATCCTTAAGAGGACACAAGATGGTAAGAACCAATAGTGGGGGCCATGTCAGTGGTTTAGCCCTACATCAGCTGTCATAAACCCTGGCTATTAGAACAGGCTGCAGGTACCTATACATGAAAAGTGAAGGATGAATTAGTCAATAAAATATACTACAATATACAAGAGCTGAGTTTCCAACCCCTACATAAAGCGGGGCTTGTGGACAATGTAAAGCACTGAAGAAGAAAGGTTTGGAAAATCCTACATTAACATTGACTGATAGTATTGTGAGTTGGTATCTTCTGGTTTTAAAAACGAGTGTCATTTCCATTTAGTTTTAACTGTTAATGAACTTTACTCTAGGTTCTTCTCAACATCCACAATAATGAAGTGGTAGTAGGGATTGCCCTAACAGAGGAAAGTCTTCATAGAAGAAATATAACACATTTTGGGCCTACAACTCTTCGATCCACTCTAGCTTATGGTATGCTTAGGTAGGTATGCATATTTAATGAGAAATATGAAGAATTACAAGGTCTTTTAAGCCATGTTATGTGTCCTGCATTACAACTGTTTGTATATGTGAAATCTCTGCATATTCTTCTCTTTAAAATCTAAAATGTATCCTATCAATGTGCCTGAAAATGGTGGGCAGTCTAATTTTTGCTCTGGTTGGATCATTAATATGGAAATTTCCTGTAAATTTCCTTGCATTAAAGTATTAGAATGCATGTGTGTTCTACACGTTTTTTTATAGTATCTGTTATATTCGTATAGTATCTGCTGTATCTGTGTTTTCCCCCTTGTGATAACCTTGATTTGAATATGGTTTTATTATATTGCTCAAACCACAGCTTATGGGTAACATATTTATAAAATAATATTAATAATCTCTTCTAGTTACAGCAAAGACCTGGTTCACATCATCAGACAATCCATGTTTGTTTATTACAGTTGTATACTGCCCCATACCCTAGGATCTCTCTGGGCAGTTTACAATAGAATACAATAAAACCAACAATATATAAATAGAACAAAATAATAGTAATGTTTTGTTAGCTATGATTTGTTTGAGTGTGCAGGAGTAAGTGTTTGTGCTAGTGCTCACCTAATTCTTCTTTCAGCTGACATCCCCAGAGCACTTGTCCTCATGTTTCATGAGTGAAGCCAAAAAGTCTTGCGTTGTTTATGGGATAAACAGCCCAAAGTAAACTCATAGTTTAGGTTAACTCTTGATCGTTTCACCCTTAAAAATTCAAGAGTTTTTGTGTTCATGTATCATATGAAACATGTTGATTAAAGGCAGAAATGGTGAGTTGGTGGGAGGCAGCATGCTTGCTCCCACATGTTCCTGCCTATTCCTCAGCTAAATAACGAGAGAGAGGGAAAGGGGGAGGAAGAGATTAAAGTTTAAGTATGACCTCAGCAGTATCTCAGTACAGTGTTGGGGGGGGGGGGTTACCCTTGATTTTGGTGTTAAAATTCAAATAGGAAGAATGGAAATCTTTAAAAGGTTGTCTTTTCTGTTGTAGCTTTTTATGCTTGCTAAGGTTTTCATAGTTGCTCTTTTCTTTATAACATCACCTTGATGGATGTTTCCTTTCTCTCATCAATTTCTCCCGATTCTAATATTTAGACTCTGTGATCCTCAGCCAGCTGACATAATTATTGATCCAATGTGTGGGACAGGTGCTATACCAATTGAGGTACTCTAATGTTTTCTATTCTCTTTTTTAAAATAAAAAGTCAAAGACTAGCTTGCCAATCTTAGGGTAGAATTCTATTCCTACTTCGCTGGCAGTAAGCATATTGTACCCCACTGGACTTTTTCAACTTGACAGCCTGCATTTCTAACCTTCAAGGTCCTCCCACTCTTTGGATGTGTTGGACTGCAATTCCCATCATTTTTAGCCAGCATGTTGGGTGTGTTTAGGAATCTAGCCTTTTCTAACTCCTTGCTGTATTACCTATCCTTATGATAACAGGAATATAAAAAGTGACTATTTCCTTTCTGCCAGTAGTAATACTATTACTACTATAGGGCAGAATTAATTGTGGTGCTGATGCCCTTGGCTATTCTCTTAATGCCATGCTGGTTCAGATGAGCAAGAGGTCACCATCATTTACATATGCTTTAGTACTTCCAGGACAATGTGAAACAAGTGAAAACATTCATTTCTGGAGGGAGGCATTTTAGCAGAACACTGATCTGCCTCCTTCCAGAAACTAGTGTTTTTACTTGTTTGTTTCAGGGCTTGTCTAGGAAGTGCTAAGTGTCCCTTGTGCAGTTGAATTGGTGGTGCCCACCACTTTCAAAATAGAATCATCAGGACAGAAAGAAACTAGTGGGGCATAGGCACCCTGCTGGGTCATCCCAATTGTGCCTTGGTAAGTGCTTAGCCATCTTTAATGTCTTAGAAATCTGTATTACACCTTCAAATGGTTGAGTAGTGTTAAAGTATGGAATTGCTGAGTCTAAAAGGCCTGAGGTTGACTCAGTGATTCGGCTACTCTGAGTTAACTCCTTTATATTGTAGTTTGCTGGCGCATAATAACCGTTCTCAGTTTTCAAATAATGAATCTTTGTATCTGTTGTTGTGACTGACTGGTTCCAAGAGGGAGCAAGAAAGAGGCAGAAGACTGTATTGAGCCCAAGAAAGGCCCTGTAATAAATTGCTCTCCTGAGCTGATCTGATCTGATCTGTGGGTATGCTGTATCTCTGAGGCCAGCAACATGGAGAAGGAAGTCCTAAACTTGGGCCGCTTGAGCTCTCTACTGGCAGTCCTCCCGCATAGAGGGAGGCATGCGCTAGATTCCATGTGGGGTATAAAGTAAAAATCATGTTTTCCTTTCTTGCTAACTTAACCCAGCATCCCAAAACCTATCTGATTGGTAGGTGGTCTAGCGTGTATGTAGAGGACTTGTCTTGCTCCCTCAGCCCATATGGATTAGCCAGTCAGTATCAAGTATCTCTATATTGTTGCATGGCTGAGTTCACTGTTTACTATATATTTCTCACTGATAGGGTGCTACTGAATGGCCCAATTGCTATCATATTGCTGGGGATAACAATCCACAGGCTGTGAAGAGGACAGCAAATAATATTGCCTCTGTAATGAAGCAGATTCAAAGTAGAGACAGGTAGGACTCAAGGTCAAACAGTTGCCTTTGTCAGTTGTTATATCAGTTGTTTTGTAATTTGATTAATATTTAATGTTTTAAAAATATTTCTCAGTTCATAATTATGGGCATTTTGCTTTGAAACATTGTTTCCAAAAATAACTTTTAATTTGATTTTTTAAATTCATAATAGCACATCTCCAGGAAAACCCATAGATAGCATTCAGTGGGATAGCTGCTGTATACCACTGAGGACTGGCTCTGTGGATGTCGTTGTAACAGATATGCCATTTGGAAAGAGGTAAAAATCAGTTCATTGTATTGTACATGCATTTTACATTTGCTGTATTTCTGATCCAGAGCCTTTAAGTTGTAGTGGAGCTCCCAACCTTCATGGGTTTGTTAGATTGTGTAGTATAACTGTAATGTGAAGTGTATTTATGTAGCTCTCCATCTCTGTCCTGCTGCTTGTCGACGAATGTGTAGCTCCTTGCCTTTCTAGCATGAGATTAATAGTTCATTGCCCACCTTCACACAGAATAGCATGCCAGGATTTCGGGCAAATCCTGCTTGCTGTGAACAGCCTCTATCCTGGTGCATAGCAGCACATTCATGTCTGCTTGGCTCTTTCCCTTAATGCAAGCAGCTAAACCAGAAATAGTTTGCTTGTCCAGTCAGAACTCAGAAACTTAACTTGTTGGTTCTGAATGATTTAGAAAAAAGCCAGTCGACTGGCTCACACAGCACAGATATTTTGTAAATATTCACAAAATTTAGACGCTCTTTGCAAAGTGGGACTATAGAGAAGGTTGGTTTTCATGTAAGGATGGGATGCACTGGCCAACTTCTATTTGGAGAGGCTTCCTCTTCTCTCCATTGGAATATCCACCCAGGCCTTTTCCCATTTCTTGAATTTGTGAGCACATTTTTTAGAATTTGATTTGCAGCCATGACAACCAGAAATTATCTGCAATATTGGTAAAATGTGGGATTATTAGAATTCTACGTAGCATACTAGATTCCAAACAGGAGGCCTCTGCAACAGCATCTGTGCAACTCCCACACATCTTCAATAGAATATGCTTATTCCAGAAATTAATAAACAAGTCTATCAAAGGTTTTGATTTATTCCCTATTGCTTGTTATGGTATCTAGTTTCATTATTATGTGCTATCAAGTTGTCTGCAACATACAGTGACTACATGGAAGCCCTCCAAAATGTCCTATCTGTGACAGTCTTGCTCAGCTCTTCTTAGTTCATCATTGTGACTTCCTTTATGGAATCAATACATCTCATAGATCTTCCTTTTCTTCTTCTGCCTTCGACTTTGCCTAGCATGACTGCCTTCTCCAGTGAGGCTTGCCTTCTCGTGATGTGGGTGTCTAGTTTAAGCATGTGAATATGGTGTTTACTCTGTCTTAAAGGTCACATGGAAGTATATAAAGAGCAGAAAGACTATGATAGGTCATGTACTGTAATTCCCATGTTCCAAAATCAAGTGTTCATAAAGTCTGATGATAAATTTTAAACTTTCTACTGTTTAAACTGTCATGACAGTGAAACACCATTGCTGAAAATATACGCAATAGCTTGAGAAAGAAATACTGAACCTTTAAAGATATATTTAAGTGCTCTTCTCTTTTACTGTAGGATAGGGTCTAAGAAAAAGAACTGGGACCTCTATCCATCCTGCCTTCTGGAAATGGGTCGGATTTGCAGGCCAAAGACTGGCAGAGCTGTATTGCTGACACAAGACAGGAAGTGCTTTGCCAAGGTAGGTAGTGTCTGAGAAGCTTCAGGCTTTTGCTCTGTATGGCTAACATTTGAAGACTGAAAAGTTAATTTGGCTTAAAGTTGTGTTGGAAAGGACACAACTTTATCCAGAATGAATGCTGTCAGTATTGAAAGTCAATAATGAACAGGATCATTCAAAAACATTTTAGGTTGTTTTAAAAATATTTTGTTGCAATGCACAAGGGGCAAATCCCATATGATGTTCTCAATTATTGTTGCTTGGTTATGTAATTTATGTAGCTTTTCTGGATCCATTAATCCCAGGGAGAGCCATTTTGTTGTGGTGGTTAGAGTGGGATTGGGGAACTGGTTGATCTGAATTCTATTCCCTGCTCGGCCATGAAGGTCCCTGGGTAACTTTTGACCATTCACTCATCCTCAGTCTAAACTACCTCACAGGGTTGTTGCTGCAAGGATAAAAAGAAGCTGTGTAAGCCATCTTGGGTATCTCACAAGAGGAAAATGGCAGGATACAAACGCAATGTAATAAGAATGATGTTTCAAAGCTGGGAGTGGAAGGACTTTCCTAAAAGAAACAGAAGCAAGTAAAATGCAGTTTTTGTGATACTTTCATTTTTTTCTGAAAGAAAAATAATGGCAGCTAACTGCTAGTAATACATTTGAACCTTAGGCATAGTTGCAGTGGTACTTTACAGTGGATACCTATCAGTAATGTTACTATCTGCCAAGTCTATCAGGAGAAATGTGAAGCTATTTTGTTTTTCAGGCCTTGTCAAAAATGGGACATCTATGGCGAAAGTCTCAAACGATCTGGGTGAATGTTGGGGGACTTCATGCAGCTGTGTATCTTTTGAAACGCTCTGGAGAAAAAATTGAAGACACAGCATCCTGGTAACATGTTGACTTGATGTACTTGACTACATCTGCATTCACATGTATTTTGAGGGCCTTTTGTACAATGCTTGCCTGAGATTCTGAGCTAGGCAGTCTTGAATGGGGCTGAAAATATAAGCAAGTAAGCAAGCTCATGGACCCAAGCATCAGGTGTTTCCTGCCCAGGTAGAAACATGTGAGGGAGCTTTCAGGGCTTCAGCAGAAAAGTATAACCAAGTTATTCATGAAGCTATAAACTAGTAACTTCTATGTGCCTGTTAATGAGTTACCATTTCATTTTGGGTGTTAAAGTATTTCATATTTACAGGACAGGTTTATCTTTTGTGAAAAGACTAGCAGATTGGCCTTGTTTTCAGGCCGCCGAAGAGCTCATTGAAAATAATGTTGAGTTAGAGTCCTGAAGAGTTGTTTCCTTGGGCACTATTCAGCTTGGAATATCTTTTAGGTAAGGGTTGCTTTAAATGAGAACATTTTGTCATTGGAGAAGTTCCTCCATTTAATCCTGTTTTAGCATTGCCAGAAATGAACAACAAGGATAGTAGGAAATATTAATTCTGTTTGTGATTTGGTAAAAGCCTATCTCAGTAGTACTGCCTGTTTTTCACCTGCTACCTCAATTTAAGCCCCAATTCCTTTGTTTACTTTTATATGCCATGTATCTTCCTACTGTATATTGGGCCAAGAATGCGTACCATCTGCCTTTGTATGTTTCATTCATCTTGTTTCTAATTCGAAATGAGACTTGACAAATGCTCTGAAGTTCTTCCATATATAACTGTTGCTTTGGATGTATAAGAAAAATCTAGATAAGAATGTTTCTGGTGCAGTTGACTGTAGCCTGGAAATGACAGACAGAAAGCTTTGTCATCTAACAACAAACACACAGTAACTCTAACCTGTAATGACCCTTGAGCATAATCTAATAAACAAGATTCATGCAAGATCACAGTTGTATCCAGAATATGTTATCAGTCCATCAATGATATGTGTCTTTTCCCATCAGCTTGAAAAGAATGGCTTAAACCCAAACTATTCTAAAATATACACACTGGGCACACAGTGCTTCAGTTCTGAAAGCATTTAAAGATTGAAATTCATATAGTTAAACTTGTTGGAAATTTTTATCTAGCTTTGATTTCATTGAAGGTATGCATGTGGTGGAGTTGCAGCTATGTAATAACCAGCCGGTATCATGCATCCTTGAAAGGCAACTGAATGAGGTTCTTCTGTGTGAATGAAAGCACCAGCACTGTCCAGTTCCTTTTTTTAAAAGTAGCTCTTTATCTTTAAAGCACTTTTGCCATCCTGGGTTTCTATTTCTTGCCTTTTGGGATTGCTTTGGTGTTTCAAAATACTTTGATGCGGCTGCTGTACAAAATTTTAACTTTTATTTTTACCTGAGTATGTAATAAAGCTTTTACCAGGAGTATTGTTCTTCTGTTGTGATGCTTATCTGTAGCCACAAAAATGAGACTAATAGTTGCTTTTGAGAATAATTTAAGTATATTTGTTAACATTTCATTAATACAAAGGTCCAAATCAACAGAAGGCAATTATTCATTTACATTTAGTATTTTAAATATAATCAGACACTAGAACTTTTTATGAAAGGGAAAAAAACTACTAAAACTTCTGCTCTAATTATTCTTCCATTTATTTATTTATTTAGACAGCTTATATGCTGCCCCCTTTGCATAAGCCTTGGGCCGGCTTACAATCATTAAAATCCCACATATAAATACCAAAAAAAAACAAACCATAGAATAAATAAAATACATAAAATAGTGGAAACAGCCTGATCAGTTTAAAATCAATAAATAAACCTTAACAATTAAAATACCATTTAAATAAAAAGGTTAAATTAAAAAGAAAAAGTTCAACCTTTGGACAGGAAGGACACTTTTATCACCATGGTCATGACTAATGGATTGACTGTTTGAGGTTAATTTAGAACAGGTTTTGAGCTAAAAAGATTAAGGAAGTAGGAAAGGTAGATGCACAAAATCAGGAAGCCTTTTTCTGATTCTGTAAAAATAATTTACTTTTCTAAAATCCTGTGACCTTTGGAACTAGCTGCAGTTGCTTTAACACAAAACAATTCTCCCCTCTTTTAGAACTTTCATTATTCAGTAACGACTACCTTTGGCAAAAATGCAAATACATGTACTACACAAAACAAAGGACATTTATGCAAAACTATTGCATAAGAATGCTTGGTGCTTTCCCTGCAACATTAGGGTTTTCCCCAGTGTATCTCACATATGTGGAGCCTGAACTAAGCCTTTAATCACTGCTATTATCCCAGTAAGGGACTGCAGGTGGCGCAGTGGTTTAAACCGCTGTGCTGCTGAGCTGGTTGATCGAAAGGTCACCGGAGTTCCCGTTGCTCCGTCCCAGCTCCTGCCAGCCTTGCAGTTCGAAAGCATGCAAATGCAAGTAGATAAAAAGGTCCCACTTCGGTGGGCAGGTAACAGCGTTCCGTGCACTTCGGTGTTTAGTCATGCCGGCCACATGACCACGGAGACTGTCTGCGGACAAGCGCTGGCTCCCTCGGCTAGGAAGCGGAGATGAGCACCGCCCCCTAGAGTCAGGCATGACTGGACTTAATGTCAAGGGGAAACCTTTACCTTACCTTATTATCTCAGTCCTGTTTGAACCATGTATTCAGAACACTTGGATTACTTTTTAATGACACCAGTGTTAAACAATTTCTATATTTATTGGAACACTGAATGCAATGTTCATATTTGATTAACAAAGCATATGCTTTGGCTGCATTGTTTGAACCTTTTAAAAAATGTAACTGGTACACATATAGTTCAGCTGTAATGCCATAAATTGCCATAAAGTCTGAACAAACACCATCTGATAAGCCATAGTTTAACATTTTCTAAACCTGGATCTGAAGCCAGCTTTGAACTAGCAAGCTTTGGTTTGGTTCCTTACTCATCCTCCAGAAGCCACTGGTTTGGTTTGTAACTGGAGATTTTCTAAGGAGGTGAATGAAGAGGGAAGCCATATATAACAATTTCCTTTACAGATGGAATACAAATCATAGTCTGGAGTCTAAATACACTTCAGTGCAAATGATATTTTGGAATTACTTTGGAACATTCCAAGGACCAGCATCGTCCACTCCCTTGAAGATATTTTAGCTTATGCTTCTTCACATATTTGTGACATTAATTGGATAATCCATATACCGAAAGGGTACACCAAAAGCAGCCACATCTTTTTAGCACACTGCTAAAGGGGTATGGAAGTAAAGTGCTTTAGTTTAAGTTTGCAGTTTGTTTACCACATCTGTGAAATATCTGCTATTGTAGCTGTTGGTGTAGGTTTTTAGTCATAGAAATAGTAATGTACCTATAGAAGAGGCATATGATAAAAATGGAGAGGAAGAAGACTAAGCCACTTTGGGTTCCGTGCAAAACAAAACAAAAACAAAAGATGGCAGGATATACATGTAGTAAATACATTCAAATTGCAGTACCTAAAGCAATGTCTGGTGAAAGTGTTTTTTAAATCTTCCCAGGGTATATATTACCCTTTATTAAGGGCTATTTTATTACTCATGACTATTTGTCTTAATGCATTAGCTGTTTTCTGTAACACTGGAGGTAAAAAACAACTAGTTAGATTAATTTTACCATTGCATAGGGTAATGCACAAATTATGTTACTAATCAGTTCATAATAATCTAACTGGCAAAGCAGGAGCTTTGGTATGAATAAAGAGTTGTGGTCCAGAAGAGTATGACAAATCCAGGCTGACTGAATTATGTGGCAAAATCCTTAGATCCTCAAGTCGCAGTCCTTTGAGTTACACAGATCTCATGGTCAGTCAAAAGTTCTGTGCAGCATGAAGTTGCTACTTTGCTGCTTCTCTGACCATCCATTGACTGATAGCCAGTTATTTTGGAAGCTCTCTTTATGATCAGTAGAGTTACCACACTCGTGCAAGTAGATTATAAAGATTTGAGATTCTAAGTTCTTGGTTGTGCTACTCAACAGAACACATTAACATTACAGAAATTCTACTCTTTACCATTTATGCCATATCAGAACGTATTTTCATAGGCAATGGTTTTAGTTAAAAATCTGTGATTGGACTCAAACACTGTAAACAGAAGACCAGCTCACAAAACAGATCTCCCTCTCTGCTCCAGAGGACACTGTATCCCCTAAAAATCATTCATTGGTCTTTTTTTTGGTGGGGGTGGTGGCAATATGCCTCTTGAAATCATAGAATAGTAAAGTTGGAATCCAAAAAAAGCAGTTGGGAATGAACCAACATCTGCTCCTTTAGGTATCCAGCCCCTAAACCATTCGGGCTTTATATGTCATTGTCAAGATTTAAAGACAGTATACTGCTTTGAGCTCTACATTTCTCAAGTAAGGGGGTCCCACCTTTGCCCTTGAGTGTTAAGTCTTTGAAATAAAATATACCTTTTTCCTTGTGACATTTCAACTCCCTAGCTCTTTCAAACGGATGGGTAACTTGTGACTCAAGACATTTTGCTCATCAACTCCCATATTCACCTACCGATAATTGTATTATTATTGCCACAATAATGGGATTTTTTTCCAATTTAATACAAATTTGTAAGCTGGGTATGAAAGGAGGAAAATTAATTCTATATTTCTGTAAATCTCATTTAGTATTTTTAGTTTAACTACTTTTATACTGCTTTTCTATTTTAAAAATACGCTCAAAATGTACAAGAAATCAAAAAATAAAACTAATGATGCTGGCAATAAAACAATTAAACATTAAATTAAATTGGACTCCAGCCCAATACTGGAATCTAAAACAAAAGTGGATCCAAACAACTTGATCAACAAAGAGTGAAGCAAATTGATCCCTCTCACTTGCTCTAGGATCCTGGCAAAGAAGAGACCACATGCAGCATGAGGAAGGCTTGCTGACCTATTCAGTGTGGATTCGATGGTGGCAGAGAACTAGCAATGCCCTCATTGCTTCAGAGTAGGTCTTGAATTGGAATCTAGCCCATGCTGTTCATCCTGATTTTTTCTCTCTCCAGTTTCAATACCCTCAGCCCCCTATTAACACAGGTGAAGGCTGCTGTAGAACACAAGCTCATATGAGTTGCAGCCAATTTGAAATACCTCTTACTGCACATCACTTTTTGATGTGAGCCTGCAAACACACAAGCATTCTATTATTCACATATTTTCTACAGATGATCCTTAAACCACAATCCTAGATTTCTCTCGGTTCTTGCTTAAGGATTTATTGTCAAAAACATTCCGTAGAGCCTTTAGTGGCACTCTGAAGAATTTCAAACACTGTCAAAAGATGTTACCTAAAGATAGAATAATTTGCTAGAGTTTTAGGTGGCTAACATACAGACCACTGCACAGAGCAGTAGGTACAGAAGGAGGCTGGTGTCCTGTCCTACTAAGGCAGATTGCTTTCCAACTAATAAAAAGTTGGTTAATGATCGAGGACCTTGAGTGTAACAAAAAATCTGATTCTGCCTGGTTTTTCACTTTTTACTGAAGTAGCTGCAACAAGCGTCAGATAATTTAAAGCAAAAAGTCATGCCCTGCTGAGAAGGACAAATAGCGTGCCTGGTAGAGTGACAATGCATGGATCGTAATCCAAATGTTCACGCTAATGAGCACCAGGGTGGTGTGGTGGTTAGAGTGCTGGACCGGGGCACTGGGAGATCTGGGTTCTACTTCCAGATTGGCTAGGCTGCTCACTGAGTAACTTTGAACCAGTCACTCACAGTCTAACCTACCTCACAGGGTTGTTGTGAGGATAAGATGAAACTATGTAAGCCTCTTCAGGTTCCTCACAAGAGAAAAAAGCCAGGCAAAGTAATAATGATAACAACCATGTTCATTACGTGTAGATTTCACTGTATCTTCAATATCCTGCATGAAGCTTACATAAATAACACAAAGGGGGTATATTATT